AAAAATCATACATCATACATCATAACGAAACAAATATATTCCACACGTATATAAAACAAATTAATCAAATTAAATATCTGATATAATTCATATCAAACTTTTCACATATTCCTAAACATATATAAATGTACTGAAATCTAGCAATAGCAAAGCATTGCCGGGTCAGCTAGTTATTAATAAAAACAATTTAACCGACGAACGGTGTACAACGAATAAATTAACTAGTAATTATCGGAACGTCTATCGTAATTTTCGGTGAGATTTTGTAAACAAGTCGACTTGAAAAACGATTTATTTATATCCAATACAACAAATGGGTTGTCATCGAAACACGTACATGCAATGTATTAATAAACAAATTTGGAATAATGATTACAACATTTAGTATCGTTTAGTACAATCATAAATCTTATAAACCCCAAAATCGACATTATACACACACACACACACACATGCATTTTATAGGTTCAATGTGTTTTAAACCATATTATGGAATCATTTTACTCCTTGATACTAGATTCTTTAATATAATATTATTATTTTGTGAATAAAATAAAACGTCGATTTTATGTTCACCCTAATTATTACGATTATTACATTGTTTCTTAAAATCTCGGCGAAATGTTTTAAATATCTATTGGTGAAATTCAATGTATTTATTGAACTTCCTTTGTATTTTTAAAATCACCCACCAACGAGCGGGGTAGGACGTGCGCAAGGTGTTTTCCCTTCTTCATCCGGGGATCGGCCGCACGCGCATATAAATGACCCGTACCCGATCACCGGACAATCCCGACCACCGACGTGGACACATACGCGATAGTCTTCCTCGCACGCATCATGAACACTTCGTCGTTTCCAGTAAGCGCCTCTACTGCGGTCCGCTCCGCGCACGCGTTCACGTTCCGCTTCTCGTTGCAGGTGGCTTTGTTGGTGGTGTTGGCGGCCGCGGCCGTTGCGGAAGGACCGTCCAGGAGCAAAAAGGAAACCGGTCACACCGCGTACGGAGCGAACGCGGGTGAGCATTTCCCGTGTTCAGGGCCGGCTAAAGCCCTGAGCAAAACTTATTTCACCAACAATAACCACGGTCACCTGTAGACCACGATAATATGTAATCGGACTCTGTGACAACTGCACGTCGTATCGGATAGTAACTAATTAAATTTAAGAAATGCGATAACATGAACTTTCTAGGTATCCCGATTTCCATACCGTGTGGCGTCTGTTGGTTTGTTAATTGTTTTGTCACTCATATATGCCAACGGATTTCTCAAGAAATCAAACTCGCCAGGCGATACACGTTTTATTTTATGAGATTTCCATACAAAATATTTTTCAATTAATATTTTAAGTGCGAGGCCCTGGACAAATGCCCCGTTTTACCTCCCCTACCGCCGGCCCTACCACTGGCCCTACCGGTATTTTACGGTACCCGTAAGTGCACGTCTGCGGACGGTTAGAATACTACCGTTCTGACGGCGATTTTCGGAATATTCATATTCATATTCGGTTATATATTCATACTAACTTTATTTAATTAATAAGAACTCAAAAAATAATTAAGATTTTGGGTTTCTAACTACAGTTTAATGACTTAAGTTATTAAATGTATTTTAAACTGATGAAGCTATTTTCAAAATCTATTATAATATGAAAAGTGCTAAGAATAATCATAACAAATATTAGATTTATGGTAAATAGGTAGTAGTGTCAGATCGATTAAAAAAACATCACATTATGAATAGGATATTTTTAGTACAGTTAACTATTGTAAAGTGAAAAATATAATAAAATATATTTATATTACAAACATGTAAATTGATTTTTTATCATTCAAAATATTAAGAAAAACATTTGAATTTTTAATTGTAATAAAATAAAATACAACCTTGATTCAATAAACATTTATTTTGGTTAAAACTAGTACATTTTTTAAAAAAAAACGTGTTATAATAACGTTAACATACAATACTAAAAATCATACATAATCGTATCATTTTTAAGGTAAAGAATAATGAAAAATTAAATAAAACTACAGTGTGTCCGATATTATTAATTTGATATACAAATAAAAAGTGTATGTATAAAAATGCATAAATAAATTAATAAACGTTTATCCTGGAAGATTAATTGGCCTTAGAGTCCTAAATTTATTGATTTTGTATATTCCTGATGTTGAATTTTTAATTCAAAACTTAAATTAAAACTCAATTAAAAATATAATAATATTCCAGGCGAAGAATTTATTTATTTCTATTTATAAACTATTTATTTATATATTAATTTGTGAGTATTAAATTTATATTTTTATATTTTTGGTATTTATTTTTATTTACTAAATTTTATTTTTTTTATTAATTATCAATTTGTATATTTATTTTTTTTTCACCTAAAAAAAAAATATATATATATATATATATATATATATATACCAATACACATGTTTATTGTTGTAGTGTAGTATTCAACGAATGTCCCAAGTTGAGAAATTTCCAAATAATTTAATAGGGACAGAACGTCTCAAGTTATTTATCTTTTAAGTTCATAAACAGTTTAAAGTTAAAAGTTTTTAGAATCGTGACGAAATAAAGTAAATGTCTAATAAATTTCTATCAAGTATTGTAAATAATACTTAATCTCAATGTACTTCGATATTTACTGGCATGTACGCTGAATCATAGCACTCGTGACAAGTAGGAATCTAATTGGTAGGTCTTATACCGAAACTAGTATAGAGAGTTAAATTTGGATTTTTTTTGTTATATAAGTAAAATCTAAACAAAAAAAAAAAAACGAAAAAATGATAACATAATCCCGCAGTGTAATGAGACCAACTAAACCGTCCCGAAAAGTATAGTATATATTTTACATGCATATTAGTTATTCAACCTTTTCTTAATACGTTGATATTTTATTTACTTAGTATAAAATAGATTATATAAAGTTTATTGCTAACAATTAGTTTTGAAGCAGATAAATGGAAATCAATTTCGAAATGTCACATGGTCAAAAAGCTATAACTATTAATAATTGATTAATAAATTAAATCGAATTAATCGTAAATTTTTTGAATGAAATAATCACCAAGTATTTCTAGTAAATGAAACAATTTCTTAGGCCGTTACAGAATTATAACAAACATAATTTGATTTAGATTTTAAAATTTTTCATGTAAGTCATGTTTCTAATTTTAATACACAAGAATAAAATAAAAAATTATGTTTTAATAATTTTTTTATTTTGTTCAAATATTTTATTGTTTTACAAAAATATGTATTAAATATTAAACAAGTAATATAACATTAAAAATATGTAAATCTCCAATATCTAATTTGTTTATCTAATCTATTTGTAGCTTAATATGATGTGGGTCCATTTTTCCATGTATAATTTCAAATGGTATGGTCGGTTTCATTAATTTTTGATGTGGTTTTCTGACAAATCTCATCAACGATTTACCAACTTTTTTCCCTTTAGTTATGATGCTCTTTTTGCAGTTTAACCTTGGTAATAAGTCTTTTTTTTTAAATAACTTGAATTTTCTTCTCACACTTCCTGGTATCGTTCTAATATCTAGAATAAATCAATAATAATGTATGTGTCATAAAGATAATTAGAGATAGTATACGAAATAATAAAACTCTGTGTGTATTTATACAAAAAGCGTTTTAACTTACAATCTAATAAAATAAATAAAACGTATATAATAACTATGGTTTATAAATAAATAAATTAGATAAGAGAGTGATTAAAAATAATGTCACCGTACTATGTAAGCATTTATATTTAATTTGTTCACGGCAACAGAAACAAGACCCGGTAAAAAAAAACAAAATTAAGAATAAACCAGCACCAATCACGTAATAATTGTTGAACTTCATATTCACTTCATCCTGAAATCAAAAAAGTACAAATGTAATTGTATTATCATGGTATGATAATAATATAATTAATACATTTTAAGCACTATTTTGACGAATGTTTGTATTTTATATACGTTTAGTGCGTAGGGTTAGGAAATCACACGAATATTTTTAAATTTTGAGTAAAATCACACGTTATGAGATACAAATTTTCACAATGGACACATAAATATTATACGTGCATGAATAAAAGTGATATCGATAGTTTATTTTATCTGTACCACATAACAGCCATTTGTAAACGGAGACGGACATCTGATGCATTTATCCGACCCGGCGACGGGTTGATGGAAATTTTTCGGACATTTTAAGCACTCGGTCGATTTTTCGGGACTATAGTGATGTGGTGGACAAGCTGCGCAGAACACTTCACGGAGCCCAAAACCTGGTGCACAGGAGACAAATGTGTTAATCTTCAATCGCTCGTGGTCGGGTTCAAAATGAGTTTCCTGTAAAGTGAATTTGGATACGACTGGAAAAAATAAATTCGAATAAAAAATCACGGACATTAGCATTATACAATACAGCGGTAGTGTTTGTAAGCCATATATTTTGTAAGTTGGAATAATTACTTTGTGCAGTCGATAAGGTATTCTTGAGATTCACGGCTAATACGTTTGATATCCTCGCCAAGATTTGTTGATAGTACAAAGCATTTCGACCTTGCTTGCTTGTTCTGATTTTGGTGAAGATATCAGCTTTGTCGTTTAATGTCATCAAGTATTCGATCTCCAGATTTTTCTGAAAAAAAAAAAAAAAAGACGCACATTGCTTGATCAAAAAACACATACATATTGAAAAACAGAACATGCATATATGCATTGTATACGTATGTACGTTACAATGTAAATTTTTTTAAATTTACAACATATTTTTACTTCATTTTCGGTACAGCTTCCCGTTTTGATGATCACGTTACACGCGTATCGTGTCGATCCTTCAGGACACACTTCTGTGCATAACAGGATGGGTAAATGGTTTTGCACGAGCCAGATTATTTCGGGTGTGCAAATGCCAATTCCATTAGTCCTGTACGTCATCGTGCCGCGGATTTCATACATGGGTTTTTCAACAGCTATTTATAAGTAAAAATGTAAATTTATGTTTAGTGCCACAATTACAATACAGGGGTATCATTTTCATTTCAGTCCGTAGTTCACATGGTCTTTTTGCGGCATTTACGGCAAGATTTTTTTTCATCGCGAAATACTCAATAAGTAAAAATAAAAACTATTGCCTTTTTTGAGATGCCGAAATCGTTTAATTTTTAGTCTCTCGTATTACACTTATCTGTTCATAATATAATATACATGTTTGAAAAAATTCATGACATAGGAGTCGAACAGAAAAATTATAATCGATATACGTAACAGCTAACAACAAGCATATAAGCATAGTCCGGGAAGAAACAATTTGTTTATTTGCTGATGTACGTGCTTGAGAACGTTCTAATTTTGAAATATAAATAGTTTATTTATTATTATTGAAAAACGTAATACAATAAAATATACAATATTATAAAAGGTTAGGTCCCAATTGACTTCTTTAAAAGTAATACAGTAACAGGTTTACACAAATGAAACAACCGATTTTTTCCTAGAACAATTTTAGGATAAAAATTTAAAAATTTAAAAATCATCTGGTATCTTTTCGGTAAAATATATTGAATAATACCTAGGTATATTCATTAGGTGCGCATAGTATATCCAATATGCCTCAAGATTTTATCTCAATATTAATTCGAAGGGTTTGCTATAAAATCATATTATAATAAATTACTCTTATAACTTTTTATTTTAATATTATGCACTATGTTTTATTGAGATATTTAAGAACACGCATTGGTGGACGAAGAGACTTATGCTTGTTATCCTATTATCGTCTCCGTCGTAGAATACATTTATTATTATTAATATTACTATTATTACATTTACCTATAATGTAATGCGTATAAGAATCGTCACTTTTTACATTTTTTCCCTTTTCTGTTGCTGACGTTTCCGACGTGCAAGTGTAATTTTTACTATTCGCTGGATCCATTCCCATTATCGCCAGTTCATTGGAATCGGTATTGATGATTGTGGATTCTTGAGAGAAAAATACAGTTTACGAATAAAAATATACTCTGTTTATGGTGACTGTTAAATTGTTTTTAAAATTGATGGTGTGAAGAATATTATGTATTTTTTAAACTTTTTTTTACTCGTATCATGTTCGGATTTTTGGTATTTCCATTTAATCAGATTACTTCCCGGATCTTCTAAACATCGGACTTGAACGTCACTCCCAACTAATTTATAGTGAACAGCAAAGTGATCTAAAAAATAATTAATTTTAATTATATTTTAATGTATCTCAAAAACATTTTCGTAGACCACGTAGTTACATTAGTTACTTTATTTACTTTATTAACTGCGTAGACAGTAATATAGTTAGGTTTTACTTAATATCAATGATTGAAACATTGGGATACAA